ATCATACAATTATTTCGACAAAAATTAATGTTTTCCACGGATAGTCCTAATCCCCGAACTAATGTTTTTATCCGGTAAAAATTATCCATCATCGAATGGCCTTTAGGCAACATTTCTTTTGAGAGCTGCACAAAATCATCATAACACCATTCTAAAAAATGGTGCTCCGCTTTCATGTGAAGTATTCGTGTCACTATAGATAGAACTGAATGATTCTTGCATCCAGGCCACAGTTCACTATTAGCTGCACTTAGCATGTCAAACAATTGTTGTGCTGCATAGTTTGGAGTTATCCAATGAAAATTCTACTGCTACCCGCAGATTACAATATCAGCATTGCACCATAATGAAATTGATTAAAAGCTGACCTGGTCTAATTACAGAAATAGAGTGGTTCTGACAACATCTGGACACACCATGATGTATCCATTCGTAATAATTTTTCACGAACCCATTTTTGCATAAATGAAGTTTAATTGTATCGATATCTAAGAAAGCTCTATTTTGACACTTCTTTTGATTACATGGACACCTCAATTTATTACCATATATGCAATTGGGATTACCAAACTGCAAACTATATAAACAATTCAAATCCTTGCAAGAATTCTTGTCTTAATATCCCATTGACCTCGTACCTCCAGTACATCCAATCTCGATTAATCCGCATTTGTTAACCTAACACTCTGTTTATAAAGGGCAAATTTTGTTCTATTTACATTTCTAACTTACTAAGGTTATTTCTATAATAAGGGTACATATATGTCAATTCACTACGGTTATTATTTCCTCTTGCTTCAACCTACAATTGTGTTAGAGAGAGCAAAGCTTCCTACTTTTCAAGCAAAGCTATTTGGGATTCATCTTTCTCGCTTAAGCTTTCCATTTTTACATGGAAACTCCTCAGGGGAGCTTTACCTTTACTGCGACGTCCTCAATTATTTGGGATTTATGGTCCATCCCATTGCCCATTTTGCTTCAAGTCGGAAATAACTGTTGACCACCTTTTTTATTTCTACCCCATCATACTTTGGAATTATTTCGGCTCTTTTTTCCTGGATACTCTTGAGTCACAAAAATTCTCTACGGTAAGCGTTGATTTTTTGGTGGCTTTGTGACAGACCAAATTCGGCTATGGGCAAGTTTAGGCGCTTGGTACCACAGGTAATTGTGTGGTCTGTGTGGAGAATGTATTGTATGTGTGATTGGGGTAATGAAGCTTGCTTTCCAGACCTCCTTTTACAAGATATCAGTAGTTTGTTATTAAACTGGAGCATTGCCAATTCTGGTAAGAGATTTGCAGCAAGTTGGTCGGCAAAAGCTGATTGCCATTTCATTTCGGCTTTTTTTGGCAAACATAAATTAAAGCCAATGATTATTACTTGGATTCGGCCTAGGCAAGATTATTATAAACTAAATATTGATGCGTCTTTCAATAAATTTTCAGCAGCGGGTGGTGCTATCCTCTGAAACAGCCATGGTAATTTTGTTGTTGCCGCTTGTTTTCTGATTGTTGCCGGGACAGCTTATGATGCAGAGCTTGAGGCTTTGATTTGGGGGCTTTCCTGCAGTATTGATAAAGGTTTTTATCCCATCCAGGTGGAAATGGATTGTCTGGATCTTGTTGCTCATGTTAATCGGGCACAATGGATTAGAGCAGGTCCTTCAATTTTGCTGCGTGTTGTTGACTTGTTGCATCTTCACTCTTCTTCCATTCATCATATATATCGTGAGGGAAATCAAGCCGCACATCTTTTGGCCACTCATCAAAGGCTCCATCATACTTCTCTTTCTTTTACCTCTTTTAATTCTTTACCTCATTTGATTAAAGGTATTATAATATTGGAAGCTATGGGGACTACATATTTGAGATATAAATAAAAGGATCATCTTCTTCCTGCCAATATATATATAATCAGTAAAATGTACATCTTCATATTCATTTTAAAAAAATTCGGTATATCGACATAATAAATCAAATCTCATCAAAACACATTAATATAAACACTTCTATCATACCAAACATAAATTCCAAAAGCAAAAGTGCCTACTAAATCCTCCAACTCAAATCAATAATTCATTTCATATACCAAAAAAAAAAAAGAATAATAACAAATAAATGCATTATTTCAAATTACAATATAACAAAAAAATAAAAAAAACAAAACAACATTCGTTAATGAAAAAATAAAAAAACCAAGGAAAACGAAATGCATACAAAACATTTCATTATTTTAACTACAGTAGTAGTAATAATAATAATAATAATAATAATAATAATAATAATAATAACTAAAAAAATAAAGAAAAAAAGAGAATAATAACTACAATAATAACAGCATTTCGTTAATTTTCTGTTATTCAACTACAATAACAACTAAAAAAAAAGAATTCCATAAAAAAAAAAGGAACACAGTCGTACCTGACCAGACAACTGCGAACGAAGAGGAGAAGGGTGTCTCTAGCGACCGGCGCTGCAACAGAGTGGAGAAGGAGGCGGCTGACGGCTGGAAATGGGGAGGAGAAGGAGAACGAGGTTGCGCTGGTGCAAGGCGACCAGCGCTTATAAAGCCCTATTCACGTCGGTCGCAAATCATTAAAAAAATTGATCACAATTTTTAATTTTGTGATGTCGTTTTGTTGTGAGACAAATTGCAACCGATTTGTGACCAAACTATCGGTCGCTAATCCCTTGCAGGCAGAGAACTAAATTTGGCGCTGAACTGTAGTGCGCAATTTTGCGACGAAATTTCAGGTGGTCGCAAATCTGTAGCAAAATCGGTCGCAAATTAGTCGCAATCGGTGGCAAAATGGAAACCAAACTGGCGGGAATTATTAGCGCTATAGTTAGCAACGGATATATTATCGGTCGCGAGTCCTTCGCAAATTCTATCGCCGTTGAGTAGCAAATCGGTCGGTAGATATTCAATCTCCCAATTATAGCAATTGGTCACAATATCATCTCAATATTGCGAACCGACGTAAAATCGACCGCAAGAGCACATTTTTTTTGAGTGGTAACTTTTGACTAGATATATAATTTTGATGGCTTTTTTTTTTTTTTTTTTTCATGGATAACTCTCATTATTTATTTGTAAACATCGGGCCGTCCATTCATTTATGTCAAAAAAGATGCAGACTTAATCAGCTTCGCAAAGGTCAAATAGTTTTCAATTCAATTTCAAATCTGGCGTTGGGATAATTCACTCTTTGTCAATTTGTCTTTGAAATGTTTTAGAGGTAAAAGTTAGGAATGGCAATCTTTTGAGATTAGCTTCTTAATTCATAAAAAATTACAATAAAAATATTTTGTAATTTTATTATTGGTGCGTTAAAAAAAGAAATAACTGAAATATTTTTTTTGCAAAAAAATAAATATTGTTATTAATGAAAATGACTTCTTATTTAATCTAAAAACTTTTTTCACGACTTTGATAAATTAATTATAACATTATAAATTATATTTCTTAAATTATTAAACATAGATAGATACTGAACCACCACTTTACCGGTTCACCACTATCATGGCTGACTTTAATAATTATAACCTTTTTATTGCATTAATCCAATTAAAATCAAACATACTCTAAATCGAATTTATATGTCTAATCTACTTCTACTAATTCTGTCCTATTGATTAAAAGTTTTATATATTCTAATTAATATTTTCAAACATGTACCAAAACACGAAAACTAAAATATTTGAAAAAAATATTTTTTAGAAAAACATTATTCCATCAAAAAATATTTCTTAAAGTAAGCGGGCCTAATTTGATGTTATTTATCATGTATTGATGATAAACACCTTGTTTAGAATAAATGAATTTCACCAAAATTTTGTAGTATTTAAAAATTTAAAATTTTGTATTTGATATGAAAAAAATGAAGAAATTTTTCATTTGTAATCCAATGCATTATGACGAAATTGTCCATCATTCTAGCTTTCCAAACCGTAGCTTTTTTATTTGGGTTTTTCTAACCTCTATCTTATTTTTCACTCAAAATAAATGGCAAAAAACTATTAATTTATTATTGGAACGAAAGGACTAAATAATTTAACAAAAACGTTAAGTCAAAAGAATCTAATCTAATTTATCCAAACAGTGAGGAAAAACAAATTAATTTTGTAAAAATGTAGGGACCTAGAAGTAATTTCCCTATAAAACAAAATCAGTTTCAAGAAGTTTAACTATTTTTAGAAAAATTAATGCAATTATTATTAATTTAATAACTTTTCATCCAACTACACTGCGCATGGTCTCATTGAGTAAGTTTGACGGCAAAGTCAATAAGTTTTTTTTTTTTTTTTTTTTTTGACAATATAACAAGCTTTTTTAGATAAAATGATATATTCGATTTGAAAAAAAAAACACTTTTAATCAGTCGATAAAATTAAAAAAGGTCAAAATTATAAGAAGAGTCCAAAGTTAGCTTAATTTTCTTTACACTTAGCCAACATTTAACTCAAAAAATTACAATTAATGCAATTTTTTTTTTTTTTTTTTTTTTTTGACATTAACAAGTTTTTAGATAATAGATGGATATAGTTTGCGATTGTTGAAAAAAAAAAAAATTTTAATCAGTCGATAAAAATTAAAAAATGGTCAAAATTATAAGAAGAGTCAAAAGTTTAGGCTTAATTTTCCTTTTTACCACTTAGCCAACATTTTACTAAAAAATTACAAATTAAAAATTTTTTTTTTAGAGAATTATTTATTATAACAACATAAAACATTAATCCAATTATAGAAAAGTTAAATTTCATACGATCCTGTGGGGACTACATTTCAGTTAGGTAAAGCTATTTCATGCTAGATAAAGCCATATGTACGAAAGAAACAACGAAAGTATGGGACCCACGCTTGAGAAGATGTTGCACGTGATTAAATTTGTTTGAGAGAAAAGGTAACAGTACTCCACGATCCACACGCACAGTGAAGTTGAAATGTGGGATCCATCAATTATTTTAATTATCGTGTTTGGCCCGATTCGGCCATCTATGATCGATCAGTGCCCTGGTTATTAATTTGTGGTTTCTTCCTCTTTTTCTAAGATATTGTCTTCCATTTTACCACAAAAAAAGCAATGTGTTCTTCCACTTCCACTTTTTGTTCTCTTGTTTTCACTTGAACATAGAACAAGAGACAAACATACAGGCAGGTAATGGCTTCTCTACCTCTACATTTGTGCTTACCTCTTCTTCTTCTTCTTCTTCTTCTTCTCTTCCCCTTACTTCTTCTTTTGAAAAAGAAACTATATAGCACGCACCTCCCACCAGGTCCGCTTAGACTTCCAATAATAGGCAATTTACACCAACTTGGTGCCTTACCTCATTACTCTTTCTGGCAACTATCCAAGAAATTTGGTCCTGTCATGCTTCTCCAATTTGGTCGAGTTCCTACAGTTATTATCTCCTCTGCAGAAACTGCAAAAGAGCTTATCAAAACAAATGACCTCAGTAGTTGTAGTAGACCTCGCTTGGCCGGCACTGGAAGACTATCTTACAATTTTCTTGATATAGCTTTCACACCTTATGGAGATTACTGGAGAGTAATGAGAAAGATTTGTGTTCATGAACTTTTTAGTGCTAAAAGAGTTCAATCATTTCAATCCATTAGAGAAGAAGAAGTGGGTTTGTTAATCGATTCGATTTTAAAATCTTCTTCCTCTTCTACTCCGGTGGATCTCAGTGAAAAGACTATGTCTCTTACTGCAAATGTTATTTGTAGAGTAGCTTTTGGGAAAAGTTTTCAAGAAAGAGGATTTAACCATGAAAGGTTTCAAGAAGTTGTTCGTGAAGGGTTAGCTATGTTGGGGAGTTTTACTGCAGCTGATTTTTTTCCTCATGTTGGATGGATTGTTGATAGGCTTACAGGCCTCCATGCAAGATCTGATAGAGTCTTTAAAGAATTTGATGACTTCTACCAGAAGATTATTGATGATCATATCCAAAAGGGAAAAGAAGATCCTGGACATGAAGATATAATTGATGTTTTGTTGGATTTGGAGAGGTATCAAACTGAATCTGGTGGAATTCCCTTTTCCCAAAATCATATCAAAGCAATGCTCATGGTAATATTCCTACTGTTTCTTAAAACATTTGTTTGGTTAATGATATACAATTAGCGGGAAATAAAAAAGATAGCTATTGAGTAGAGGAATAGTTATCCTTTCACTATTTATAAAATTTATTTTTATAATTTTTTAAAAGGTAATAAAACTATTTAGGGATTTTAGTTCTTAAAAGATTTAGTCAATTACACTACCAAAGATTTTAAAGCTGAATTTGACAGTAACTTTTGGCGTTTTGACCGGTATTTTTTACAGTTTTCAGTAATATAACGTTTGAACTAGTTTCTAGAGGTTAAAGTAACGTTTTATAAAAAATGGTACTAAAATAACTAACAAAACAACTAATTTTATCGAATAACACTAATTTTTAAAATTATAAAATTAATTATATTTGCAGTGTCTAACTTTTAATTTTTATATTTTAGCATTAAGAGAAAAATTTTCAATTCAGTGTTAAAACAAATAATTTTTAAATAATTAAGTGTACTTAGATTTCTCACGGGAAAATCCAAATAAACTATTTTTTTATACTTTCTCTTATTCTTTCTGTCTCTCTCTTTTAATTTTGTTTTGGATTCGAAGAAAATTAAGAAGAGTTTTGAGAAACTTTCAAAGAGAAATATATAGGCAATAGAAGAAAAAGAGAAATATAAAAAAGACAGTAATTTCATAAATGCATATATTAAAATCTAACTCAACTTAATGAAATTTAACAAAAAAAAATAAGAAAAATCATTCCCATTGTTGAATAAGAACATATTGTAACTTTGCACATTGACATCTCTGATTTAAAAAATAAATAAATTTCTGTATATATAAAAAATTTACAATTCCAATTGAAAGAATTGCTAATTTTTGGTTGACTTGACACTGGTTAAATAACAATTTAATATTAATATATCAGAAATATTTCTGGGCTGAGTGGACAACGGAGCAATTGTCCTAATTACTGCATGCAAGAACTTATTAAGACTGTCCAGAGATAAAAGCAACAATTAAAATCAGAAGTCCTAAATTGGAAAGACAACGGAGTACAAATGCTACAGGCAGCTTGACTACCTAAATTAGTGTTGAAGATGAGATTGCACCCACCAGTACCACTGCTAGTTCCAAGAGAAGCCATCTCACAGTTCAGCATAAATGGCTATGAAGTTTATCCCAAAACTCAAATCAGGGTCAATGTATGGGCGATCGGAAGGGATCCTAAAATTTGGAAAAATCCTGAAGAATTCAGTCCAGAGAGATTCATTAACAGTTCCATTGATTTTAGAGGGCAAAATTATGAATTTTTACCATTTGGCGGTGGCAGGAGGAGCTTGCACTTGCAAACCTTTTGTTTTGTTTTGATTGGAAGTTGCCTTACAATATGAAGGAGGAAGATATTAATATGGAAGAGGAATTCGGTCTTACTGCTGAGAAGAAAGAAGCTTTACTGCTTGTACCAATTAAATATCACCTTGAGTAGATTCTAGATTTGTCATGATTCGACGTAGATGCAACTTACCACGAAGCCATGCATGTTTGTATGAATAAATTTTAATGATAAAATGTTTTTATATTGAGAATAATGTACTTTTAATAGAAATAAAATTAATTGAAAAGTTTAATATTTTGTTTATTAGAATAAAAAAACTGTAATGGTGTTGCTTCAAGGAAGTCGAAGAAATTGGCAAAATATAGGAATAGCATACTGATTTTTTTCAAAAAAAAATTTTATTAGGGGGTGGGGGCCACTCCTAGCTTCTCTGGCTCCGTCAATAAAAGTGATGTATATTTCACGATATCTGTACTAATTGATAGCTTTTTAAAATTAAATTAGTAAGGTGGTCTTAGAGTTTTGATGTTCTGCTTTTATTGTCATTACTAGGCGGTTTACCGCCTTTTACGCGACTGTATAATATATTTAATTTTGAGTTATAAAATGTGTGTATTGAATAAATTATTAAAAGTTAAAGTACATACAATCTATAGAGAGTATGATTTGCCTTTTACGCGACTGTATAATATATTTAATTTTGAGTTATAAAATGTGTGTATTGAATAAATTATTAAAAGTTAAAGTACATACAATCTATAGAGAGTATGATTTGCCTTTTACGCGACTGTATAATATATTTAATTTTGAGTTATAAAATGTGTGTATTGAATAAATTATTAAAAGTTAAAGTACATACAATCTATAGAGAGTATGATTTGCCTTTTACGCGACTGTATAATATATTTAAAGGATTGAGTATCAAGGTGTGTTTAGAAAGTTGAAGTTCAATGTGATAATTACGTTAAAAAAATTATTCCTAAAAAAATAAAACAGAATACTCATTGCTTATATTTGAAACTTCTTAGGATTTTGGTCTGGAAACCTAATTCCGACCTCGATTAGAAGACTCCAATGTCTGGATATGTCCTCTAACTAACTGTTATACAACTTACCCTTATGCTGCCTAATTGCTATTTAATATGTTATTGAAAGGAACGGTTACATTCTGTCAGAAATTTCAAATTAAATATTAACCTTAAATGCAGACTATTACCTTTAACAAACTCATAAAGAATTTTGGATAACATAAGTATTATTAGAAGTCCATAATATTTTATAATTCTCCCATTTAATAATTGGTACCACCGACCAGAGAATGTTTAGATAGAAAAATACCCCCCTCTTTTGCTGGACACGTTGAGATCTCGTTGGCGAAATCCATCCTAGGCCAATGTAATTGTTTTTTTAAAATAAAATTCCCTACATAAGGGCTTTTTCCTCAAGTAGTAAATATTACAAATACTAAAATTATTTTAGAAGACTCCTCTCTTCAAATGGAAGTATGCCACTGTCCAACATTTTTTAATAAGAACCCATTCCCGAAATTCTGCTCTGAAATTTATGCCCTATAATAAATTATAATTAGATAACGCCTGGATTTGATAATGGTACTTGTTTTTATTCTTCGTTTTGTTTTATTATTTCTCGCTTCTTCTTGCTCGGTGGCGTTCTGAAACTGAAATCCTCCCTTGTTATGTTTGATTTTCCCACATGTTGCATATAAATTTTATTTTTCTCACTGCAAGACTCTTTGTTTGTTGAATTTTTAGTATTTGATATACCATGAAAGATGGTATAAGTAGTTTAATTATCGGTATTTACTGATGATACGTCTTTAGTTTTCATATGGTGCATACTTCATTTATTATGGTGAGGAGTAAGTTCCTCGTAATCTCTTGCCCTTTTGGTGTAATGGATACATGTTGGTAAAAACCATAGCCTGATGATGTTTCATGAAATTTTGGATCAAATTATTTTCTTCTTCTTTTTCTACGTTCTGTCGCTTCACTTGAATTTCGTTTAAGGCAAGATCACAGTGAAATTTTATTTGTGGTTTGTAAACCTTCTTCATGAGTAGGTTTACTCTCATACTTTATGCCAATGTACCATTCCTGTCTCTCTTAGAAAATTACGTGAGGCCCCAATTATTCACCAAGAACACCCTGGAACATAATAGAGTGCTTGGAATAGATGCTTGACCTCCAGAGCCATGCGGCCATCCTGACTGTAATATATAGCTTTGATTTTAAATTTGAGAGAATCTTGAACTGGGTGAAATTGCTTCTAACTATCAAAGTTTTATACTGGCGGACCGACCCCAAGTACAACCTTTCACCTGAATTTTCAGTTTCCATTACGAATATACGTTCCGAATGCATTGCTATCAGGATTTGTGTGCGATCGTATGTTCACTGGTCTTTAATAAGTATGAGGATTTGTTTCGAATTGATATGCACTAAATGTTATTTGTAGATGTTGAGATTTTTACAATTAGTTCTCCAAGTGCACGAAGATAAGATAATTTCAGTTTTCAGCGCCGTCGGGTAAGCAAAGAAAGTTCTTCGCCTTTTTGTTACAAAACAGTTATAAAATACCCTGCCTCAAGAGCATAAAAAGACTATATTATAACCCATCTTTTTTGAAACATTTTAAGGAAATAAAAAATAAAATGATGAATTAAATTTATCCCGGTACCAACCAAATAAGAAACGAAAAAGACTTAAGTTTGCATCGCTATAGTGATGCTTTGTGCTCTTGTTTCCTTTTATTTGTGATACAAAATCTAGTGACTTTCAATTATTGATTTCTACTTATTTTTATCCTATATCCTGCTTTACTTATCTTTCTTCCTAGCTTTATATTTGTCTTCTTTTTCGCTTGATTAATCTTCTTTTAAGTGTTTTTCTTTGCTTTCTTTTATTTCTTTCGCTAACATTAGACTTCTATGGGATTAAATCAGTGTACCAATAGTCGGTTTGCTCTGTGCTATAGTCTGGTTGAGAAATGTCTGATCCATAAGTTTATTTTTTTACTTTTTCCAATTTCTTCACAATTAGCAAGTAGTTTAAAGATTATTACTACACATTCAACATGTTTTTTCATTGTGGAATAATGGATGGATTGATTTCTGGTTAATAATAAGTATTTACAATTTAGATCCGTATAGCTCCGACATTGAAGTGGTAACCAGGTGACTCGTAAAGTAACTTAATTAAGCAGTTAAAGATATTCATTTAAATAATTTTCTTCAAAAAATATATATATTTTTTTCTTTGATATGGTGGTAATTGTACAATTACTCTCGATAAAATTTATGCGAAAAAAAGGCCTAATAAATTTAACTCGTTAATATTAATTATCAATAAACCTCCCATGATTTAAATTAAGCCTTTCTTAACACAAATCTTTAAAAGTTTTTTTAACTTCATGATTAAATACTCTAAAAAATTTTTTAAATATTTAATTTCTGTTCCACTCTATCTGTTCGTATAAGCTCGCGTTAACTCTGTAAAATGACTCTTTCTCTATCCGTTCCTTATGAAATTTCCGAGAAGCGCGCTTATTTCGCCGTACTTAGAGACATAATAACTGGTATGTGTTTAGGTGTTGAAATTTTACACCATGCATGGATACGGCTGGAGGTGAAAATGAAGTAAACTTACATTAAAGGAATTGTAATAAATGCTACTTTTTATGTAAAGCCTTTGATATTTTCGGAGACCTTAATATGGAACCTACCTGT